ATCTTCCACTCTCTTCGAACCATGAAGACAATAAACATAGCATCTGCATACTTTTTATGCTACATAACGTAAGTTCTTATTTATTACTGATAGTCGGGAGTTGTTTGATTTATCTGGCTCCAATTTGATTAATATACGACCCTATGGTTGACTGGTTTATTCGCTTCAATTACACTCAAACACAGCCTCCTTATCTCTATAACAACAGCTTCCCACATATCATCCCGATCAGTCTCTGCAAAGCGATTGCCGAATGACAGTACGTTAAATAGACCCGTGGTAAGACTGGTTAAGACTTTGGAAGACCTCGAAGACGCAAGACGCGATGGAGACATTAACATAGAGGAAGGACCACTAGACAACGGCGTAGATGGTGGTGTAGCAGACGGTGTAGCAGATGGTGTAGTTGACGGTGTATCAGACGCAAACGGAGTAGATGGTGTAATAGCAGATGTCGGCGCCGACAGTGGAACAGACAGTGTTATTGGCGACGGTGAAGAGAAAATCAACGACAAAGACAAGGATGACGATGATGTGCCCTTGCTGTATACGTGTAAAGTTGTTGGGGAATGCACGCCTTGCAATATATTTGAGACTGTGAGTTGAACAAAAAAATTATTGCACATGATTTGGTCTTGGCGTCCAGTTTGCTTTTTTTTTCTTCTTTTTCTTTTATCTTTGCTTATACTAACTCTATACCGGCAACCGATTTCATCGCTAGAAAACTCAAGAATATTGCATAGAGTTTGGGAACAAGGAAAAATTAGAATGCAAGTATAATCGTCCAACAACAAACGAAACGGATTTATCGTTACTGCCGGAATTCCGTCCTTGTCGGCGAGTGAAGCTATTAGAGAACACACGATTTCTCAAATTCCAGGTATGCTAAATGGAATTCTGTTTTTTGTCTGTGATCTATAATATAAGGAAACTTACTAATGTATGATTCAAATGCAATATTCCAAATCGAACGCGCATCTATCTTTCCCCACTCCTTTATTCTAGTTTTTTAATGTACTTATAGCATCAATGGCAATTGCGTGTGTTGTCTACAGACGGCGCAAATTGGCGGCAGAAGGCTATAGGAGACTTGCTCAAAGAATAAGTGGAGACGCCCTCATCAGAAATGTTTAATTAATAATGTCGAACATTGTTGATTGAAAGTTTTAAACGGACAATAAGTTAATAAGTTAATGCGAAAGAC